GGCGCTGGGCCGGGCCGGGCCGGGGCGCCCCGCGGCCGAGCCCCCGCCGCGCCATCAGCGTCTGCGAGTCGCTGGACCTGCAGGGCGTCCCCGCCGTCCAGGCCGCGCTCGGCGCCGCGCAGCAGCAGCGCCGGCGGCCCAAGAGCTTCTGCGCGGCGGGGAACGGGCTGCCCGGGGCGCTGCTCCCGCCGCCGCCCCCCGCCCGCGCCCGCGGCGGCCTCCTGGACCTGCTCCGGCTGCGCTCGCCGCGCAGGCAGAGCCCCGAGGGCGACAGCGACGGCCCCGACGGGGCGCAGCGCCCGCGCCCCAGCAGCATGACCTTCCTGCCCACCGCCCGGCCGCCGCAGTCCGCCGAGAGCCCCGGCTTCCTCCGGGGCGGCTCCCTCTGGGGCAGCCGCCGCTGGAACCTCTTCGGGGGCAGCGGCTGGAGCGGCTCCAGCCCCAGGAAGAACTTCAGCTCCCTGCGGAAAAGCTTCAGCTTTCGCCTGCGCCGGGGCCACGAGCTGCGGCGGTCGGAGTCCGGGGGGCTCCTGCGCCCCGCGCGCCTCCGCACCAAGAGCGAGGGCGACGCCAGCTCCCTGCACACCTGCCCCAGCAAGCGGGACCTGCTCTACCCGGAGCTGGCCAGGGTCGGGGGCCGGCTGCCCACCGACCCCGCACAAACGGGAGGACTCTGGAAACTCCTCACCAGCCGCTTCCGAAGGCGAGAGCGTGGCAGCGCCAGCGGCACGTGCCCCAAGGACCCCCACGGCGGTGTCGAGCCCATCCTCCTGGGAGGGGGCCCGCTGCGGGCGCTGGGTGAGTGAGCGCAGGAGCGGTGCTGGGCTGGGGGGAGCCCCCTGCGCCTGTGAGACCTGCAGGGACAGGTGGCCGTGGCCTCTCCCAGCCGAGGTCTGGGGCTGGGCACGGGCACCTGGTTCTGTCCTGGTGCTCTGGGGTTTGTGCTGGGCTGCGGCGAGGTCGTGTGAGCGTTCCTGGTGCCGTGGGGTCGGTGGTGCTGCAGCAGCTGTGGTGTTGCTGCCTGGGAGGAGATGCTCCAGGGTCCAGTTCCCTTGCTGGCCACACACCTGGGAGTCAAGCACATGTGTTCCACGTCCTTCTTGCCCCAGTGGTGTCCCAGCAAGGGCAGGGAGGGCTGAGCCTCGTGCAGTGGCATTGGGGGAGCAGACGCCTGGTGGGAGGGGAAGAGGAGTGCTGTTGGTGGGCTCCTGAGCAAGTGGGACCGTTTGGGAGGTTGCCAGAGCAGAGGTGTGGAGCAGCATGGGGGGTTGGGGAGCACAGAGATGGTCCTGCACCCCTCTCCTGTGAGCAGCTCCCTAGTGCCAGGCCCCATCCAGAGGATGCTCTGCTGGGATCATCCTCGGGGCCAAGTGGAGGCCGGATGTTTGTGAGCATGGGACACTCACTACGTGTGGGGCAGCCTCTGGAGAGCAGGGGTGGTGTCCTGGTGATGGCACAGGGGGACAGGACCCATGGTCCTCCCCAGGGAACCCACACTCTGTGGGGACTGGCAGCTGAAGCAGCTCTCAGGTACTTGATTCCAGTGTCTGGTGGGGGGTTCTCCAGCACTGGGGTTGTGAGGGGCCTCAACCAGAGCTGTGCCTCTGTTCTCTGTCCCCTTCCCGGCCCTGTGGAAGGAGCTATGGGCGAGCCCTGCGCCCTGGCAGGGCTGGGAGGCGAGAGCAGCATCCACGGCTTTTTAAGGCATGGAACGTGCGGAGCTGGGGGCTGGGCCGGGCCCCGCCGCCCGCTCCCGGTGGGGCCTCGTCGGGTTCCATCGCTCTGCTCTGCGTCCGGGTGGTGTGGAGGCAGTTCCGCACTTGGCTCGTGTGCTGGAGGGACAGCTTGGGGCTGGCAGGCTCCCCAGGGAACCCGCACGCTCCCGAGGAACCCGCACACTCCCGAGCCAGCGGCTGCCCAGGGCAGCATCGTGCCCAGAACGCTCTCTGGGAGGGCTGCCCTGCAGGGACCAGCACGGGAGCAGCTCTGCTGCTGCCCAGGGAGCTCAGGGGGCTCCTTCCTCCAGCCCCTCGTGCCCTTGGGGCTTGCTGTGCTCCTGGGGAAGGGTCTGGAGGCTCCGGTGGATGCGAGGGCTGCCGTGTGCCACGAGGCAAAGGGCCGGGATGCTCTGTGCTCACGGGGGGCCCCGCGCTGGCAGGGCAGCCCAGGCCGGGTGCCGGGTGCTGGCTGGGTGGCGGGAGGTTCCCAGGAGAGGGGAGGCTGCGCTCATGGCTGGGGAATGTGGGTGTATGCGGGCAGGGAGGGCCGGGCCCTGCCCCTGCAGCGGGGGGCCTGTTCCTGCTTGCCGGCAGCTTCCAGTGGGAGCTGCGCCAGCAGCAGCCGGCCCGGCAGCCCCACTCACAGAGGAGCAGCCAAGGTTGAGCACTCCGTTGGTGTCTTTGCCCTCACCTGGCGGCTCCATGGAACAGGTTGGGGCTCCTGTTGGGCCCATCTGTGGGAGACCCTGCTGAGGATTCCATGGGGAGTGCCGTGGGGGGCTTGGGGCCCCTCCAGCTGTGACCAGCCAGATCATGTGGGACCACTGCTTGTCACAAAGGTTAGTGTTTGCCACCATAGCTCGTGCTGGAAGCAGAGGCTCAGGGATGACCTTTCGTTGTGGCAGAGTGAGCCCTGCCCTGGGGCTGCAGAGCTCACGGTGGGTTTGGTCACACTGAGAACACCGTGCATTACCTGCCTGGTACCTGCACAGCCCCTGCACCCACCAGACCTGTGTCCTCCTAAGGACAGTGAGATGTGAAGAGGCAGCAGTGAAGTCTGCAGAGCAAACCAACTGCTGCTAGTCCTCTCTCATGCCCTGTCTCCCCATTGTGTCTCTGCTCAGCACGTTGGTCCCTGGGCCATGGCTCGCTCCAGCTGTGGGTCTCTGAGCCCGGGCTGGAGGAGCACAGCCTTAGAGCTGCTCTGGTGGAGCTGCTCAGGAGGTCTCATCTCTGCCCCATCCCCGTTCCAGCCTTGCAGACCGACGGCGTTCCAAACCCTCTTGGCATCCCACAAACTTTGATGGTCCGTGCGGGTGCTGCCCACCTTGCCCTGGGAAAGCTGCTGGTGCAGCCCCAACTCGCCCTCCCGGGGGGTGCAGCTGCAGCTGCGGTTATCAGCGCTTGGAAAAGCTGGATGTGGGAGTCCCAGCACAGAGCCAAGCCAGCACTCTCCCTGTTTCCAGAACCTGGAGTGGTTTGTTTACAGCACGCTGCCATACCCACCCAGCACTCTGCTCTGCATCCAGACGTACCCACAGAGAGCCAGGAGGATGCTCTGAGTGCTGCTCCCAGCCCTGGAGGGGTTCGACTGGGATGGAGCACAGGGAGGGGTGATGGGGGATTTTCAGGGTTTGTTACCCAAAAAACATAAAGGGATGGTCCTTGTGTAACAGGCAAGGGAGGGCAACAGCCCTTGGGACTGGAGAGCAAAGTGAACAAAGTCCAGCCAGCTCAGACTGACCCAGGTGATCGTGGTTGGTGGTTCAGAGGAACGTTTCTAGGTGTCCAGGTGTTGGCTGGTGCTGTTCCAAAGAGGCTCTCTAATAGGCTTGGGCTTGGGAAAACTGGACTCGTTAGGGATTGGAGTTGTCCTTGTGCATGGAGGGACTGTGTGAAGGGTACAGCATCTCTGATGGCTCAGGATGTGTTCCTCACCCAAGAGAATGGCCTGAAGTTGTGTCGGGGAGATCTAGGTTGGATTTCAGGAAAAGGTTCTTTTCCAGAGGGTGGTCTGGCACTGAACAGGCTGCCCAGGGCAGTGGGCACAGCACCAAGGCTGCCAGAGCTCCAGGAGGGTTTGGACAGTGCTCTCAGGGACACTGGGTGGGTTTGTTGGGGTGTCCTGGGCACGACTGAGTTGTACTCAATGATCTGTCTGGGTCCCTTCCGGCTCAGGATATTCTGTGATTCTGTGATCACAGCCCTGTCCCCTCTCCCAGAGAGCCGTGCCCTGCTTTTTGAGGTGCTTCGAGGCACCTCCGTTTACTCTCCTGTGTGGAGACTGATGCGCAGGGCATGTGAGGGAAAGCTCCTGGGAGAAGAGGGGGGTGTTTTCTCCTGGATCAGGTGAAGTTTGCATAGTGAGTTGGGTAGGTCATGATAAGTATCACCTCGTGTTGGTACCTGCCTCGGCTGAGCTGGGAGCACTGGTGGGGGTAGAGATGCCTTGGATGCTGAGGCCAGGATGGTGTCTGTGCTTCGGAAAGGCTTGGGAGCTCTAGAAGGTGTCAGGGACAATGCTCTGGAAGGCCCAGCTCTCAGGATGAGGTCAGAGAGTGTGCAGTGGGTGCAGAGGTGTCTGACTGCAGTCACAGGCAGCCCCAGGGAGAGGGAACTCCAACCCCAGCGCCTTCAGTGTTCATCTGCCAGCACCTGTGGGGTTGCAGAGCTGGAGCTGAGGTCAGGCATGTTGGGAACAGGTTTTTGCTGGCAGGATGGGTCCTCACTGTGCTGGGCAGCAGTGTCTCTCCATGTCACTCTGCTGGATTCTGCCTTCCAGCAGACCCTGTTCTTCCATCACAGGGAGGTTTGGTTTGGGTCTTTGCTCTGCCAGTGTTCGGACAGGGACTGGAAAGCAGCAGGTGCTGAGAGGTTGAAACACCTGGATCTTCCTGAGCCCACACTGACAGTTCCTGGTGACAGGAACTGCTGCTGCACGTGGTGTGATGATGGAGCGAAGGGGCAGCTCCTGATCGTGCCCTGTTTCACTGAGAGACACACAAGTATCTCCTTTCACTGCTGCAAAGTATTCAAAGCTCTGGTGAGGTAATCCTTGCTGAGATCATGTCCTGCAGTGGGTTCTCGCACTGACTTAGTGCTGACTGGGACACTGGCCATGCCTGTGCTGGTCCTTAACCTGGAGAAATCCCTCTCCTGCCAGCATTGCCAGGGCTGAGGCTTTATCAACCTGGCCCAGGCAGGGTGGCTGTGCCCAGGAAGAGTGGCTGTGCCCAGGCACGCTGCCTCTGCCGCCCTTTCATCTACGTGTGCGGGCAGGTGGATCCGTTGGACGTGGTTTGTGTGGCCTCTGCTGTGTTTGCTCAGCCTCTGACCTGGTTTCAAGGCTGGCTTTAGTGTCCAGGGTTGCAGTGTCCAAGGGAGTTCCACCGTGGCTTGGCTAATGAGTTGGTTAATTATTAGTTGCTGTGTGGGGAGACCAGATGTGTCTGGCACTGGCGCTTCTGGAGCGCAGGGTAGGTGAACCTGCTGCACATCATCCCATGGAGGGAGCAGCTGAGGTGAGGAGTCGGGTTTGCCCAGCCAGCCCCTTCCTTCTCCCAGTTTTCCTGCAGCAGTGTGTGTGAGCAGCCATGGGTCCGTGGCTGAAGCCCCTCCAAGCTTTCTGCAGGGCACGGGGGCCGCAGGGTCTGGGCTGTGCCATGAAGGTGCTGGTTGTGCCTCCTTGGTGTGTGACGCTGCTGTCCCATATCTGGGGCCTGCTCTGAGGGTCCTGCTGGTGTCCAGGGTAACTGACTGAGGAATGTCAGCTACAGGGAGTCTGCTTTATGTCCCTGTCTGCTCTTCTGCCCTACCTCCCAAATTTCCACCTTCTGCAACAGAGCCGCCTGCACCGGGAAACCTCCGTCAGCAGAAGATTCTGAGCACAACAGAACTGGCCTGAATCTCCTTTTCCCAGGCCAGGCCAGACTGATCTCCTCTCGTGTGGTTGAGTTGTGGAGCCAAGGACACCGTTGGGCTGTGCTGAGGCTCTTGTGTGGCAGTGGTGCCCTGAGCCCGCTGCTTCTTTTGGGTACACCTGGGGAAGGTGTTGAACTGTAGCACAGACAGTCTAATCCCCTCTGTGTGGTTAAACAGCAAAGAGCAGAGGGAGGCAGAGTGACTGGGTGTGCTTTCCTGTGGAATACCAGGGTGTGCAGCCAGTCCAGCAGTGAAGCTGAGCGAGTAAATTGTGCCTCCTCGTGCTACGTGAATGCCAGTGCTGAGAGGGAGGACAGTCCCTGGAGGTGTCACCCACTGGAGGCAATCCCTGCTGGGCAAGCTGGCACCAGGACCCAGGGGATGTGGGGAAGGTGCTCACACTCACCTGCCTGCTGGGATTTTGGGTGGTGCCTTTGCTCTGGTCAGGTCACCAGTGGCTCTCTGAGTGCATCCACGTGGTCACTGTGTCATCCAGGAGATGATGGGGATCTCGTGCCTGTTCCAGTGGGGAGCAGTGCCCGAGGGCTGGGCACCCCTGCACCCCCTAGGCATGGCAGGTGGCTGGGGAGGGTCTGGCCACCCTGGAGGGAATGGTGCTGTTCGAGGGGAGCTCCCACCCCCAAATCACCCTCCTGCAGCTGCGGACTCAGACCTTCCCAGTGCTGCTCTGGTGTGTAACAGCCGCACAACACTCGGGGTGTGTAATGTCTCACCAGCAGGATTCGTAGCCCTGAGTGCAGGGAATTGCCATGTGCAGCATTGTAGCAGCGAAGGATCAAGATTGGATGGACAGAGCTGGTGTCAGAGTCGTGTCCCTGGTATTTGGCAGCTTGGCCTGTGGCTGTTTTAGGTTGAGAAACTGCTCTTGAGTACTCTTTGACGGCTCCGTGGTGCCATCCGTGCCTGCCCACGCAGGGAGCTGCTGGAGCTGCCAGCAGACAAGGGAAGGGAGTGTGAGAAATCGGGGGGGTCCATTCTGGGGGTCTCTGAGACCCAGAGCCACCCCTGTGAGCGCGGGTGCAGGCGGCTGCAGGACACAGGGCACAGGTGACGTGAGAGATGAGCGACAAGGTGACTTTGGGCCTGCAGATGGGCACATCCAGACAGGTGTGGGTCCTCCGGGTGCCAGGGGGACGTGCACACACGTGCGTGGTGAGAGGAGGGCAGTGGCATGTCCTGGGGCGGAGCAGGGCGTGTAAAAAGGACTGGGGGCACTTGCAGGGACAGACTCAGTTGTTGTGTGGGCCCCACCCTGACATGTGGCAGTGGATTGTGCTCCAAACCCTCAGACCTTCCTGGGCTGGCCCATGGTCACAGAATCGTTGTGGTTGGAAAAGGCCTCTCAGACCATGGAGTCCAACCATCCCCCAGCACTGCCAAGGCCACCACTGCCCATGTCCCCAAGTGCCACATCCACAGGGCTTGGAAATCCCTCCAGGGATGGGGACTCCACCCCTGCCCTGGGCAGCTGTGCCAGGGCTGCACAGCTGTTTCAGAGAAGAAACTTTCCCCAGTATCCAACTTAAACCTTCCCTGACACAACTTGAAGCTGTTTCCTCTTGTCCTGTCAGGTCTTGACAGTGTTGAGTACCTTGTCCAGGTGCTGGATGGGAAGTTTCCCTGGGGATTGCAGGCAGAGGACAGTGCCCCTGGACACACATGGCTTCCTCACCTCCCAGGCACTGCTGTCTTCATCCCCATCCCTGCAGGAGGAGATGCCTGGGGCAGGAGAGCTAACGGGGCAGGAGAGGGGTTGGGGCAGCACAAGGAGCGAGTGGTGTTGCAGATGGGCTGCTCAGAGTCAGGGTGGGATGTCCACCTGAACAAGAGGTGTTTGTTCACGGAGAGGTTCCTCAGTGGAGGGGTTGGTGTGTGCAGGTCTGGCCCAGGATGGCTGGGACTCACAGGGGTCTTGTGCTGCTGACACCTGTGACCTTGGCTCCAGAGGGGGAACTTGCCCCTCACAGATCTGAGTCTTGGTAGCTTTTCCGGGTGATTGTGGAGGAATGCAACAGTCAGAGCAGTTTGTCATGGGCACCCGTGAGCAGATCCAGCTCACCTGAGAGCCCAGCCTGTCCTCTCCAGGGCTCTCCCTCCCTCTACTCTTTCCCAAGGCCAGTCACTGAGAGCATGTGTCTTGTGCTCTGCTCAGAACCCCTCAAAAACCTGCTGTGTGTAGTGAAACAGTATGAATGTGGTGCTTTGTCCCCTCAGGGAGTGCTGGGAAGGAGAAGGCCTGGATGGTGCTTTATCCATCACCTTACCTGCCAAAGGAACTCAGTGGCACAGAAGTCCCAGGTGCAGGTGACAGCTTTTTTTAGACCCAGTGATGCAGTTGGAAACACAGGTGTGCTGTTACCTTTTGGAAAGGGCTCAAGAATGTATCGTTTTCCTCCTGATTGATGGGTTGTTTTAATAAAAAATTTACCTCTGCCTAAAAAAAGAAAAGGCAGATGAAAGACGCCGCAGAGAAATGATTCCTCCTCAGAATCCTCAGGATGGCTATAAATAACCTTGTGTTCTTGCAGCAGACCCAGGCGTTATTTGTGTGTAGCTCCTGGAAAAGGGTTGTTCCTAGATCAGCCATGGGAGGTGAACTCCAGGTAGGAGCACCGTGTTTCCCCGGAGGAACGTGCTGTGCCCACAGGCCTGGGGGTGCACGAAGCTGGGGTGAGGGCACAGTGCTGGGTCATCAGGTCACTGTTTGTCCCCTTGTGGCCACTGAGCACCTGTGGGCCAGGAAGGGTGGAGCCCAGCCGGCCCCTTCCCCACGGCTTCGGGCTGCGTCTCCCACCAGTGCCCACTGAGGTGGGAGAGGTGAGACAAGGCTTCAGCCTGGAAATGGAGGAAGAGCTGGAGCCGTTGGGTGTCCAACCTCCCCTCGGCAGTTCTGAGGGCCAGAACATGAGCCCAGGCCGCTGTGTCTGATCACTAACTATGACTGGGTCTGGTGGATTCTCCACTTCCCTTGTGAGCCCATCTCAGATTCCTCTTCTTGCAATAGTCCGTGGCCACAGATTCAGCAGGTTTCTTACAGGCTCCTGGAGTTGCAGAGCTCCCACAGGTTTCCAGTCTCCAAAAATCCTTTGTTTACTCACGATGAACATGCAGCCATGCACGTTTGGGCCCTGCCCTGGAGCATCCGGCCTCGCCAAGGTGAATGAGGGACTGGGGATTGTCAGGAGGAGCTGCTGCTGCTCCTGGTGCTCAGGGTGTTCTCCAGACTCCTGCGCCTCCCCCAGTGAGTCTGGTTCCGTTTGGGAAGTCTGTCTCATCAGCTTCTGGAGCTGGTTGGGATGTAAATGAGTGTTTTGGGGCTCTGTGGCAGGCCAGGGGTGTTTCCTGCGCCGTTCAAGCCGTGCCAAATTGCCACAGCCCCCGTGAGCCTGTTGCAGTGCACTGCCGGTTCCATACATGCAATAATTCGCTGTGTTTGCCTTCAGTCAGAAACAGGGATGATGTGCTGCCCTCAGCTCCTCACCCACAACCTGCAGCACGCCAAGGGCAGGGCTCGGGGCGCTGGCCTGCGCCCTCGGCTCTGGGGTCCTGTGCAACCTCTGCTCTGAAAAGGGTGTCTTCCCTTGTCCTCTGTGCCTCAGGGCAAGGGATGCTAAAGGGGTTTTTGTGCTCCTGCAGGGCAGGAGGGAGGGTCCCATCCTGTGGTGCCCTTGGCTTGGCTGCTCCTCCCCGCCCAGGGCTCCGGCTGTGGAACCACTGGGCATGGGCTGTATCAGGACCTCGTGCAGCTTCGTGTCTCTGGATAGGGTGTAAGGGAGGGAAGAGCCATAAACCTGCCTGGAGGGAGCAGGGAGAGCATGGCAAGGTCCTTGATGGCAACCGTGGTGACCTTGTGATTTCTCCTCTGTGTTTGCAGATTCGTTTGTGAACAGCCAGGAATGGACCCTGAGCCGCTCGGTGCCTGAGCTGAAGGTGGTGAGTACCTGCAGCTCGTGCCTCGGGTACCCCTGGTTCCCCAAATCCTGTGGGATGTGGTCTCTGGTTGGGGGCTGCCTCTGCCCCCTCTGCCCCCAGCACAGCCCCTTGGGATGGGACAAGGTCAGTACTGCGGGCACTGGGGTGGCCTGGAGGGGATGTCAGGGTGGGCAGGATGCTGCGGGTGCTTCTCATTTGTGTCTGCTCTCGGAGCCCTCCACGATCTGTTCCCCTGCTCTGCTCTTGCCACGCTCTCTGTGCCAGCCCTCAGCTCCCTGTGCAGGCTCGTGGTGTGTCTGTCTCCTTCTGCCCTTTCTCCCTTTGGCCTTTTCTCCCTTCAGCCTTTGCAGGACTAACTTTTTTCAATATTACTCCAAGAAACAAAAGATCAAAATTCTTTTTGCAAAGCATTCCAGCACCGTCCTGCCATAGTGTCTCTTACCTGCAGTGAAGTGAAAATCAAAACAAACTCTGAATATGCATTTGTTAGTTTGCCTGTGAAATGTGTTTTCAAAAACATTCCCGCAGCTGTTCCATGTGACGTTAAGGCTCCGGAGGCTGCAAAGCTGTGCTGACAGCTAAACCATCCCAGAGCTTTTAGTTCTTCCCCAAGTGCCCTTTTCCCATGTTTTCCATGACCTCTGAGGATCTCTCTTGCTCCGAGGTTTCATCCGGCCAGTGCAGCTCTTCTAAAAGCCTGGAGGCCTTTCAAAGTCCTGGTTCAGAGTCACAGGATCATTTGGGTTGGAAAAGCCCTCTGAGACCAGTGAATCCACCTGTTCCCCTGGCACTGCCAAGGCCCCCACTGACCATGTCCCCAAGTGCCACATCCACAGGGCTTCGAGATCCCTCCAAGGATGAGGACTCCCCCCCTGCCCTGAGCAGCTGTGCCAGGGCTGGGCAGCTGTTTCAGGGAAGAAATTTCTCCAATATCCAACCTAAACATCCCCTGGCAGAACTTGAGGCCGTTTCCCCTTGTCCTGTCCCTTGTTCCCTGGGAGCAGAGCTTGATCCCCATCTGGCTCCACTGTCCTGTGGGAGGGACAGAGGACGTAGAGCTGCTTGAAAACTGGAAGGAAGTGAAGCCTGGGAATGTTTCTTGTGGGAGTCAGTGTTGGGCCCCTCACTGCAAGAAGGACATTGAGGGGCTGGAGCGTGTCCAGGGAAGGGAATGGAGCTGGAGAAGGGACTGGAGCACCAGGAGTGGCTGAGGGAGCTGGGGGGGCTCAGCCTGGAGAAAAGGAGGCTCAGGGGGGACCTTGTGGCTCTGCAACCCCCTGACAGGAGGAGGGAGCCAGAGGGATGGGTCGGGCACCTACGCTGCCTCCTGGCAGGACTTGTCCCCTGGATCTCAGTGTGGACTGCATTCCCTCCTTTTCCCAACAGTCATGGAACAGAGGTGCCCACAGTGCCTACACACCTTGCTTGGCTCTGGTTTGTGCCTCTCAGGGGTTCTGTTCCTCAGGACTGTCAGTTCTAGGGGAGCTGGTTTGTAGCTCCAGGTGAGCCCGAGGACAGGACAGGGCAGAGCAGCAGGATTTCAGTGAGACACAGGTCAGGGTTTGGACTGTGTGCAAACAAAGTGTAAGTGCAGCCTCTGTCCAAGTTTTGGAGCTAAATGCCATTGCAGTGCTTACCCCTGGCGTGGTGTGGGGCCGTCACTGCCAGGCGGCCCCAGGAGCTGCTCTGTTGGCAGAAGTGGCCCCAGGGGTGTCCTGTGCTCTGGTAGCAGGTCTGTGCCATCAGAATGCCCGCTGCTGCTGGGCTGGTGCCTCTCTGCCTCTCACTGGGAGCGTGCAGGTGGCCCAGGGCAGGACCTGGAGCAGCGGAAGTGTTCAAGCCCCTGGCTGAGAGCTGGAGAACCTGCCTGGTGGTGACTCACCTGCCCAGCTCATCCCTGTGCCTGGAAGAGTTTGGCTGTAAGCTTCTCTTTGGTGGCAGAGGCAGCTTTAGTGTTCCAGCTGCTCCTCACCCTGCGTTTCTCAGCGTGTGAGTGCAGCTGTACAGAACCCCTGAGGTTGGAAAAGCCCTCTAAGATCACCAGGTCCCACCATCAACCCACACCACCACCACCATGCTCACCACTAAACCATGTTCTCAAGTGCATCCACACATTTCTTGAACAATTCCAGGGGTGGGGACTCCACCCCTGCCATGGGCAGCCTGGGCCAGGGATGGACAGCCCTTTCCATGAAAATATTTTCTTAATATCCAACTTAAACCTGCCCTGGCACAACTCGTTTGCTCTTGTCCCTTGTTCCCTGGGAGCAGAACCCGACCCCCCCCGGCTCCCCCCTCCTGTCAGGGGGTTGCAGAGCCAGAAGGTCCCCCCTGAGCCTCCTTTTCTCCAGACTGAGCCCCCCCAGCTCCCTCAGCTGCTCCTCATCAAAGCTGTGCTCCAGACCCTTCACCACAAACCTGCTCCCACAACTGGTGGCTTTAAACCATCGGGAAGATGCTGATGCCGGGCAGAGCTGGGCTCTCTGACTGACCCATCCTGGGACACCCACCTCTGTTCCATGGCAAATCTGAGAGTGCTGCTGGTGCCACCTCACAGGGGTGGCCTCGTGTGGAGGGACATGTGCTGGGCACACCAGGTGACATGTGCCTCTGTTGCAGGGCATCGTGGGGAACCTGTCCAGTGGCAAGTCAGCCCTGGTGCACCGTTACCTGACCGGCACCTACGTGCAGGAGGAGTCTCCAGAGGGTAAAGTTTGGTTCCTGGGGTGCCTGGGGGTGGGCTGGGTCCTCTCTCCTTTCCCCAGTGCTGAAGGTGACCCCCATCCCTGCACATCTCTGCCGCTGCTGCGGGGCTCTGCAGCTCCCCTGGCCCTCGTTTGGGGTGTCCCCTGCCTGCCCCCCCTCGCTGACCAGTGGCTCTGCTCTCCTCCCAAGGTGGCCGGTTTAAGAAGGAGATCGTGGTGGATGGTCAGAGCTACTTGCTGCTGATTCGAGATGAAGGGGGCCCCCCTGAACTCCAGGTAGGAGACCTGTCCCTCCCCACCCCATCCTGGGGATGCATCTGCCAAGCCTCCTCCTGGATCCAGCTGTGGGGGTGCCCTTGCTGACGGCTCCAGCCGCTCTCCCGGGCAGTAATCCCTGCAATCCTGCCATGTCTCCTCAGTTTGCTGCCTGGGTCGATGCTGTGGTGTTTGTCTTCAGCCTGGAGGATGAGATCAGCTTCCAGACCGTCTACAACTACTACCTGCGGCTCTGCAGCTACCGGAACACAGCGGAGGTGCCGATGGTGCTGGTGGGCACACAGGGTGAGAGCGGAGCCTGGGCTTCCCCCCACACCCCTGGCCTTGGCCAGGAGCACTGGGGATGTGTCCCTTTTGGCCCCTGTGGGGTGCCAGCCCTGTGAGCACATCGAGGGATCCTGGTCTGTGAGCCCTACATGGGGCTGAGGCTCCAGCCCAGGGCCCTGAGGAGGTGATTCCTGCTCAGACCATCTCAGCTTTCCCACAGGGAGCTGCCTCGCTCCATGGAGCCACTTTCCTCATGGAAATGTCCAGACCTCCTGGTGCTGCTTCCTCCGACTCTGCCAGCAAAGGCAGGAAGGAGCCTGGGGCTGCAGAATTGCCTGTGTGACAGCAGAGAGTGGGAGCAAGGCATGGATGTGAGGAAAAACTGTCCTGGCAGGACCCCGTTCCTGAGCAGTGTGACCTGTTCCTGGGCAGGAAGAAGCTCTGAGGCCAGGAAGACAGGGACAGCAGTGGGGAGACACAGGGGATCTGCTCCAGACCCTGGATTGAGAGCAGAACAAAGTTGTTAAACTTTGGATATTTAAAGACTGTGGAATGAATTTTAGGACTGAGCAATCTCAGCTCAGGACCGGGGAGGCAGCACGTGCCGTGGAGGTGCAGGAGTGGGGACAAATGACAGGGGGTTCATTGTTGTCACAGACATAGAGCCAGGTGGGGTCACAGCCTTGGTACAGTCACACGACCCTCTGCAGAGTCTGAGGAGAGGCTCCTCACAGCGTGGTCCCAGTGCTGCTTCAGCCCCTCCTGAGAGGGTTTCTTTGCAGCCCCCGCTTGTCCCTGGCTTATCTTCAAGGAGTTGGATTCCTTTTGGGAAGGAAGTTTTTCCTAAACAGGCAAGCACTTGGCAGCCATCTGGGATACAAACTAAGCCTGTATTTTAGAGCTGTCCACCAAGGCCTCAGCTATGGGGACGTCCCAGCAGAGCCAATTTCCCCATTAATCCAGGAGGATTTCTCCCTTGGATTCTTTAACGTGTGGGGTTTGGCCATGAGCCCCAAAATAATGGAGACTGACAAATCCATTTTACTCAGGGGCTGGGACTGCCTGGCCTTGCTCCCCACACCTCCCATGGGGTTCTGCCTCTGTCTGCTGAAACCTCAGTGGCTGGGTGGTTCAGGGAGTTGAATCAGGTTCATTTAAAGAGATTCATCCATTTTTCTACAGATGTGGGACTCTCAGGCATTTATGTGGGGTTCCTATGGAGGTGGTTCCTCTGCGTGAAGAGAGGGAGGGAGGCCAGGAGACCTGGGACCTGTGAACCTGTGGATAAGAGGGATCAGTGGGACACAGGTCCCTGCTCTTTAACCCCCTGTCCCTCTGGTTTGCAGATGCCATCAGTGCCACCAACCCCCGGGTCATCGACGACTCCCGGGCACGGAAGCTCTCCAACGACCTGAAGCGCTGCACGTACTACGAGACCTGTGCTACCTACGGCCTGAACGTGGAGAGGGTCTTCCAGGACGGTAACTGAGCTGGGGCAGGGTGTCCAGGCAGGGCAGGGCAGCAGTGCAGTCCCACCGAGGGGCTCAGGCTGCCCAGGTCCGTCGGGCACCCGCTGGTGTGCGGTGCCACTGCTTTGCACTGGGGCAAGGGCAGGACGTGCTCTGTGCACAGGCTGTGTGAGGAACCCTGTGTGTGCCATGTGGGTGTGCTTCAGGGGCCACAGAGCGGGGCTGGGCAGGACCTTCTGCCCCTCTCGCAGGGGCTCCTCGTGGGTGGATGCTCGTTCCAGAGAGCAGAGAGGCTGTGGGGACAGTTGGATCCCCACAGGGCAGCACAGCACTTCCTGAGCCTGTGAGCACTTGGGGGGCTGCAGAGAGGGGTTTGCTGGCCTTGCGTGGAGGACTGGAGGAGTCACAGCAGGACCTGGAGGTGTTGGAGTAGGGGAGCAGCACCTGAACAGCTGGATGGGGCAGCTGTTCCTCATGGGAACAGTGTGGGAAAGCATTCCTGCTTAGGCTTGGAGGGTGGTCTGCAAGAGCGATGCTGAGGGGGGACAGGGAACCTGCACCATCTCCTGTGAGTTTGCAGAGTGCTTAAATAAACCAGGGCTCTGCCCTAAATGGGACTCTGTGTTCCCTCTAGTGACAGGACAAGGGGGAATGGCCTTAAACTGAGCAAGTAGGTTTAGATGAGATATCAGGAGGTATCTTCTCTGTGAGGGTGGTGAGGCCTGGCACAGGTTGCCCAGAGAAGCTGTGGCTGCCCCTGGATCCCTGGAAGTGTCCAAGGCCAGGTTGGATGGGGCTTGGAGCAACCTGGGCTGGTGAGACACATCCCTGCCCATGGCAGGGGGTGGAACAAGATGGGCTTTAAGATCCTTTCCAACCCAAAGCAGTCTGTGATTCTGTGGTTCCCTTGTTTCCCCCTTCTCCTTCTTGTCTTCTGGTAGTGCTGCTGGGGATCTGTGTTCAGCACATGAGGAAGGGGGTGTGCAGACCTGAAGGCTGGGCAGGGTCTGTGTTCCATGGAAGGGTCTGTGTGGAGCTAAAAGCTGGGCAGGACGGAGCAGCTTTTGGACAGGAGAGCTGTGCTGGTGGTCTTTGAAGGTGGAACAGGCACATGAAGTTTGGAAATTGTGATGCCTGAAGGCAGGAATCCAGCTGGGGTCGTTGCAGCACAGCAAGACAGACTGAGGACAGACACAGGGCTGATCCTGTCACTGGCCTCAGGTGGCTCCAAGCTGGAGCTGGTGACCTTCCTTCCCCTGCCTGAGCCTGTGCCCTGCAGTCATCTCAAGCTGTGGCTGAGGGTCACAGTCACAGTGGTGATTTCTTACACAGAAACATGTGGAGATGCTCCTGCTGCTGCTCTGGGACTATCTGAGTGGTCAGCCCAGAGACCCACCTCCCGAGCTGTCCCACCTGGCAGGGACCCCTCAACATCCAGCAGCCTTTGCACCAGTTTGATATTCCTGGGGAAACTGGGGTGACTCCATTGGGCAGGTTTGTGGTGATCCCACCTTCCTCCTCCTGAGTCATGGAGGAACGGGGGAAGGAACAGTGTGAGGAGCTGAGGACAGTGAGCTGCAGGGGGGGATCTGCCAGAGCAGTTGGGACATTTGCAGAGCAAACCTGAGGAGAGCAGCAGCATCAGGGCTGTGAGCACGGCTGATCCTGGCTCTGGAGGGCATTTGGTACTGGGTGTCAGCAGATCTGCTCAGCTTGTTCGTTCCATCTGCTGCTGTTGTGCCCACTCTGTGCAGGGCAGCACAGCAAGGGGCTGCAGCTGGAAGGGCTGGGAAGGGCTGGGAAGGTGCTGCAGGGTAGGAGTGGCTGTTTGTTAGGAGCTGCTCATCCTTTTCAATCTCAAGATGGAATGAATTGTGCTCTGGGGTTATTTCTCCCTCTCTTGACCCTGTAGCCCAGACAACACAACTTCAGCAGCGCGATGTGGGAGCTGGGCTGGGCTCTCGTTGTGTCCCAGCCATGGTGGGAGACCTGGGGTTGCTGGCTGAGGGCTCAGGAGTGACCGCCTGCAAGGTGCTGGGCTCCATCCCTGTCTGGCCTCAGCCACTGGCTGTTGTAGACGACGGGAAAAGTATCACACGACCACAGTATTGATCATGACTAATCCAACTTTATTGCTGTAAGCTTCGTGCTTATAAAGGTTAATAATTAGCCTCATACATATTCCAAGGTAGCTAATCTAAACAGGACAATGATAGACAGTCCTAGTGAGTTACAACTATTTGGAGCTGTTATGGAAATGACTCTTGTTTCAGACTCAATATGAAAAAGGAAAAGATCTTTTTACAATGGCAGCAAACAATTGGGAATGTATCCACCACGAACATAACAGCACAAACCCCTCCATATGACAATGTAACCTGGTGCCAAGGTTATGTCAGAAATGTGTCAGTTAATGTGACAAAGCCAAAATATTTACCACCTGGTTACTTCTTGATTTGTGGAAATAGAGCATGGTCTGGCATTCCTAAGTATCCCATTGGTGGACCATGTTACTTGGGAAAATTGACAACGTTTACACCTACTATGAGACAAATAACACAGTTGAAAAAGAAAAATATTCGGAACAAACGAGAAACTGAATTTGATAGGTACTGTAAATCAGTAGAAAACCAACCCATTAAAACGGGCCGTACATGGGGTCAGGGAGGTGGCAGGGAGTAGGATTGTCCCTGTGAGGAGCCGTGAGGCTGAGGAGACCCAGGAGTGTGGCTGCCTGCTCACACAAACCTGGTGTTGGTCTGGGCAGAGGCTGGTGCTGGGTGAGCAAGGAGTGTGGGCAGCTGTGATGGGAAGGTGAGGCTGTCCCTGGCAGAGGAAGCGGGAGCACCAAGTGGGAATCTGGACGGATTCCTGCTTCCATACAGGTCAGCAGGAGGAGGCACTGGATGTCAGCACTTCAAAAGGATGCAGAGACTGAGAAAGTTAAAAAAGGAAAAGCTACAAAAATTAATCAAAAGCTGGAAAACATACCTGAAATGAGTTACTACAAGAGTCATCCATTCAGCAAATCAAGAAGCTCGAGAGGAGACTTGATTATAGGAGTAACTATGTACCCATCTACATGGGGAGAGATCCCAGCTGGGAGACTGCAGGCGGGGACAGAGCTTGTGCTAGAAGCCCCAGCCAGATGAATTCAAATTTTAAAGAGTTCTTACTGACTTTATTAATAATTTTATTCATTAGCTGTTGGGAAAAATGCATGAGGAGGTACCGTATCCTACATCTCTTGTGCTGTCTCCAAACCAGACCGAGTCCCTCACGGGAGGAGTCTTGCCCTTTGCTCCAATGGCTGGTGCCATGGTGTCCGTGCCCCTGCTGAGCTCTTTCGGAGCTCTGGAGAGAGCTCTGGGAGCTGGGAGGGGAGCAGAGGGACCCACTGTCTTGTAGGAGATTTGGGCAAAGCCCAGGTACTCGGTGCTCTCACCTTCCTGCTGTACTGCAGGACCAGAGAGCTGCTCCTGAGCACGGCTGTGTGATGGAGGGAATGGAGCAGGAGGTGAGGGCAGCAGAGGCTGCAGCCATCACTGGCATCCGGGAGCTGTTCAAGGATTTCCAGGGTCCCATTCCAGATGAAACTGACTGATGGGAAGAAATGTTTCTGGGGTGGGTAAGCAGCTCTTCCTAGTGAGCACTGTTTCGGGATCTGGTGGATCCTGGTACAGCTGGTTTGGGTCTGGTGGAGTGCTGGCAGTCACAGGCGGTGTGAGGACTTTGCCTCAGGTGGTGATTCAGTTTCCATCAGACTGTGTCTTTATATGTCCTCTCCCACACCAGTTGTTCATCCCAGATCCTGGCAGACCTGTCCTGGGCAGGCTTGGGAGGATGTCCACTTCCCACAGCGGAGCAGGAGGAGTTCCCTGAGCGCTGGTCCTTGCATCCAGTGCCGAGGTCACTCCCTCGCTCATGCACCGTGGAACGTGTGCTGCACCTCTGCTCACAGACAGCCCTTCCCTGCCACTGTCTTGGCTCACAAGAAGCAGCCACAGACCTTTTTGAGGAGCAGGTCAACGTGCAGGTCTGGCACAACAGCTTGAGGGAGTGACCACCCTGCCCCTCAGTGCTTGTGGATGGTCCTTTCCACACACACCCCTGGTACTGAGTGTCAGGGATGCTCTGAGATGGAGACACTGGAGTCTCCACCTTCACCAGCTGCTCAGAGTGGCCCTGGCTGTTGTGGTGCCACCACAGATGAGGCAGAAGCAGCAGAGACCCTCCTCCTCAGAGCAGGTCCCGGGTATCCAGTCTGGAGCCTGGAGCTGTGTGTGGTTGTGCTGTGCCGGGTCTGGACCGAGCACATTCCAGTGTGTACCTGGTGTTGGTGAGGCTGTTGGTGTGACAGAGGCTGTGTCCAGGCAGTCAGGCTGCCAAAGGTCACCACGAGAAGGACACATGTCAGGAGGATGAGAGTCACTTCCTCTTTGCTGGTTTCTCATGTGTCCTGGCAGAATTCCCCCTGGAGCCGCTGCTCACTGTGTGGGAACTGCACTCCTCCGTCCTTCCCAAGTCCCCAGATGTCACAGTGACTGTTGTGGTGAGAGGATGGGACAGTGCTGGTGACTTCAGTATCACCAGGAGATGGCCTTGGCACGAGCAGGGGTAGTGCCCCAGGCCAGGCTGTGTCCTGCAGTGTCCGGTGCCACTTCAGGACTCCCTGTGGGTGAGCCTGCTCTGAGGGGTGGTCAGTGTGGTCCCCTCATGGCAGAGCCCTCGCCGAGGTGGAGACTGGCACAGAATGTGCCTTCTGACCTCTTGGGTCTGGAGAGGTCCAGTTAAAGAGCTTCTCAGGACTGCCTTCACAGTTCCCGAGTGCAGAAATCTCCTGGGGTTCAGCAGATGCCAGGACAGTTGCCAGAAGCCATTGCTGTGGGGGAGCCTCAGCTCTTAGGATTTATTTTAAGGATGTTTCTGTACCAAGCAAAAGTCAGGGAGCAGAGAGCTCTTTGTCCATGTTCACCTCAGCCTCCTGTTAATTTTCTGAACACCTGGAGCCCATGAGGGTCCCAAGGGCCCAGTCTGATGGAGGTGGTATTGCCTGGGCTGTTCAGTTCAGTACCTGGCTCCTGGAGCTGCCATGAGGGGTGACTGAGGAGTGACTGGCTGCCCAGGGATTCTCCTGCAGCAGCCCAGGGCTTGGTGTGTCTCTGCATGTCCATGTGAAGTCACTGCTCTGCGTGACACCCAAGAGGGCAAGTGGCCTCTGGGGACTCGGCCTGGGCAGCACAGGCAGCCTTCCATGCCCCTGTCCCTGTGGATGGCAGGGATCCTGTGTGGCAGCAGGATTGCAGGTTGGGTGTTCTACAGAATCCTCCCTGTGAGTACAGGGGGGCACAGTTTGAGCCACAGGTGTTGGCCTCAGTCAGGGGAAGGGCCTGGGTCTCCCTGGAGCCCTCCAGAAATAGGTGGGTAGAGAAAGCTGCTTTCTGGCCTCTGACCCTGTCCTTTTCTCCCTTTTGCAGTGGCTCAGAAGGTGGTGGCTCTCCGGAAGAAGCATCAGCTGTCCATCGGCCCCTGCAAGTCCCTGCCCAACTCACCCAGCCATTCGTCTGTCTCCGCAGCCTCCATCCCTTCTGTCCACATCAACCAGGTGGGGAACAGGAACAGGGACAGCCAGGGACCCCTCGTGCTCTGCACACCCCTCAGCTCACTCAGCACCCCACACGTTCAGCCTCAGGCTCGTGCTGCTGCCCTGGGATGGCTCTTGGGAAGAGCAAAGTGGTGTCACCCTGGTTTTTCTGTTCATAGCCTTGAGAGATTGTGGCTGCCCCATCCCTGGAAGTGTTTGAGATCAGGTTGGACAGGGCTTGGAGCAACGTGGTCTGGTGTAGGTGACCCTGCCCATCACAGGAATGGAACTGCACGGGCTTTAAGGTCCCTTCCAATTCAAACTATTCCATGATTCTATGATTCTGTGAAGGTTTGACACTTGCCCCGAGGTCAGGTTTCGTGTCTGTATCTTTGGGTCTGGCTCATGGTCCCCAGACCGTGTTGTGCTTCTGCAGACACACAGCAAAGCTGTGAGGAGTCTCAGGGAGCTTCCTGGACAGCAAAAAGGATCTGTGAGAGGGTCTTGCTCTGGCTGCCCCAGCCAGGCAGGCACAGCTGCCCATGGTCCTGTTGCCCCCAGACTCAGAAAGCAGATGGTCTTGATGCAGGTGCAGGTGGCTTGTGAGGGGTTGTACCTGTGGAGAGGCTGTCAAGTTGAGGGACAGCACGTGTAGCTGGTGAGTTTTTCACGAGGGGATTGGCTTTGAAGCTCCAGGTGTATTGGAAACTTCCAGCCCTGGGAGGACTCGTGGTCCTCCAGTGTGGGACCCTGTCCCTGCACAGACCTGAGCTGTGTCTGCAGCCACTGCCTGGACCCTTACATGGGGAGTTTTCAAATACCCCCATGAAGTTTATACCTGGCTGTAGAGGCTTCTAAAGCTGGACTGCAAGTAGGCAGATGCAGGTTTTTGCAGATTTTGTCACCTGTCTGTCCAAAGGGCTTCTTTCTCCTGGGACAGCTGTGCTGTGGAGGTGTCCTTGCACAGTGGATGATCCTCTTGGGAACCAGCCAAAGGCCCTGGTTTCATTTCTGCCTTTGGGAGTCTGGGATTTTTTGCTTTTATTCTGCAGCAGTGCCCAGTGCCTGGAGGGCACTGCTCCATCCATGGGGAGGGGAAGGGAGCTGCAAGAGCAGGTCAGCCCTGCTCAGTGTTTTCCACCAGCTCTCACGAGTCACCAGCAGTGCATGGTGGGTCCTGATCCTGAGTTCCATGCTCAGCATCTCCCTGGTCCTCTGGTGTGGCAGGAGCCAGGGCCGGCCCCGGAGTCCTGTGCTCCCTCAGGGACACAGGTCTGTCCCTCAGGCCTTCCTGGCAGCCTGTGGGGTGTGCCCCTGTTGGAGCAGGCTCCTTGGATCCCCCGGAGCCCTGCAGCCCCAGGGAAAGCTCCTGCTGCTGCCTTGGGCTCTTCTCTCCCTGTCCTGCCCACACCTGTCACTGGGCGAGCAGGTTGGATGGGTTTGGGAGTCCCATCCCTCACTTGGCCCTGACTCCCACCCTGCTCCCTCCTGGCAGCTCCTGGCCCTCGCCTGCAGGGAGGGGGTGGGAGTTTCTCGGACCAGTAGCTGCTTGCAGCACCTGCTGAGTTGTTCCACCTGATTTCCTCACTGCTGCTGCCCTGTTCTCCGTCCTTCTTCGGGGCCTCTGGGATGCCTTTGGGAGTTCCCCAGGCTGTGGGTGAGTCACCACTGTGTTCACTGTGGGGTGGGAGTTTGTCTTTCTGCCAGGGAGCTGGTTCCCAGCAGCTGGCAGGAGGTGAGGCAGGTACCCCACATGGGTACCTGGCAGGGCAGTGGGTGCTCCCCTGGGCCTCAGGAGCCGCTGCTGTGCCCACTGTGCTCCCATGGCCTTGCTCTGCCTCCCTGCACGGGCGCTTTGGGGGCACTGGGAAGGCCTTCACCCAGACTTCAGTGAGAGAGCACATGAAAGAGGAGGAAAATTAAAGTTTGCAAGTGAAATGAAGCCCCGGGGACAGCTGACCTGAGCTGTTAACAGCGCTCCCTGGCCTGCCATGGCACGTTCCGGCAGAGCTCAGGAGCTGCAGCAGAGGGTGTTGGCATTTCCTCAGGGAAACCCATATCCCATTGTGTGCTTGGCTCATGGTGCCCCCATTCCAGGGTTTGTACACTCCTCTGTCTTCTTCCCTCTTCCTGCAGATGCCAAGTCAGTGTTTGCTGTTTGTTTGCACTCTTCTACTCGGAGCCCTTCCCAAATCTGTGTGTTCTGCCTCAGGCCTTGTTACGCCAGGAATTACAGCCCCTTGACTCCAGCTGTGCTCTGCCCTGCCCAGGCACCCCGTGGCAATGCTGATGCTCTTCCACCCGTTATGCATTAACGGGAGGGATCTGTCCCAGACGTGTTTTACCAGGTTTCCAGCTCCCACTGTTCTCAGATTCTGATGGTGACCGCAGGTAGTTGTTCAGGTCCGTCAGCAAAGTCCCTGCCAGGAGCAGACACTGGGTACGTGCCCAGACCTGTCGTCTACTCAGGGTTCTCCCACATCCCTGCGATTTGTCCTGCATCCCTGGATCCCACTGAAGTTCTGGAGTTCCCTGCTCCAGCAGAGCAGTGTGCTGGCTCAGGATTGCCTGTCTGAGCTGCTCTCTGTGTTTGGGGGAATTTCTCCTCTGCCTCCAAACTCGCGGGATCAGCCCTCCCGCGTGCCTTCAGAGTGTGGTGCAAGCCATCCTCCAGCCCCAAAGCCCTTCCTAGGTTTGGCTGGCTGTGGGACACAGGAGGCTCAAAGGCCAGTGTCCTTTATTGCCCAGGGACAGTAACCTTGGCTCCAGCACCAGGCAGACTGGGGCTAAGGAAAGTTATTCCAGCCAGGCAGAAATGACACACAAGGTTACAGGGACTGTGTAAAATATAAACCAGGATTTAGCAAGATTTGTTCCTTGGAGCTTTAGTGTCCATCACCTACATCCACAGGGTTTGTCCCAGCTGCTCTGGCAGGAGCTCAAACACTATATCCTCTGCTGAACCGGGTCCTCCCCACAGTGACGGCGTCATGAATGTGCTGCCAAGGTCCCTGAGAGGCACCGAGCACAGCCAGGAGCCAGCCTTGGAGGGGTCCAGGGCTCTGGGCAGCTGTGCCTGGCTCACTGGTCCACATGGCACGTTCTCTGTGCTGCAGCATCTGCCTTCTCTTCCCTCACACTTGGAGTATTTCTCTTTCTTTGGCCTGGTTCACACAGGTCAAACACTGGCTGCACACATGTTGTTATGCCTGATCCAAAACTTGAGCTGTCTCAGTAAATCCTCTCCCTCTCGTTGGTCCTGGGTGTCTGCAACTCTTCCTTCATCGCAGCACCCGCAGAACTCCTGTGAGTGTTGGGCCCATGGTTCACAGGAGCTGTGTCTGTTCAAGGCTCTGACAAGAAGTCACTGGCAGGAGAGGCCTTCCCTTAAGAGAGGAAAGTTCTCTTGTGTGTCCTCTCCCATTTCTCTTGTCAAAGATGAGAGGATCCACGGCTTGGGTGAAGGTTGTGCCTCTCTCTGGGGCTGGGCTGTGCCTGTGGTGCTGCCTGGACCATCGATGCTGCCACTCTGTGAGTGTGGGAGCTGGGAGGAGGTGGGCTGCCCCTGCTGGGGTGCCAGAGCTCTCCTGCCCTTCTAGGGGCAGCTCTTCCATGTGTTTCTGCAATCCTGTTCCGGAGCTGCCAGGGAGCTCGGGCTGCTGTGTGCTGTGTTGTAGTGAGACATCCTGTCCTGCAGATCTGAAATGCTGCTGTGCAGGTATTGCTCCTGGCACCTCCCTAAGCTCCTGTCCAGGTGGCTCCTCACAGAGCTGGCATGGGCAGGGTGGGAGTGAGCAGCCTTGTCTGGAGGAGATGTGTTGCTGACGTGGGTGCACGGCTACGTGGTTGGGTCTTCCCCTTGCCGTGAAGTCCAGCAAGGTGTTAGTGAAGACCCACGTGTTGTCCCATGTGTCCCCAGGCACAGGCCACTGCAGCCAGGGCCACAGTGGTCTGCAGGCATGGGAGGTGTGTGCCAGTCTCAGGGTCTGCTTGGATAAACCTCCAAACCAGTAGCAGGGATGGGTTTCACACAGACCATGAGCTTGGGGTGTGGCACCCCGTGCTTCAGGACACTGGAAAGGCGAAGTCTGGAGTCCTGGGGGCACACCTGGAGTCCTAGGGACACGCATCCCCACTGGCATCATGGTTGTCCTTGTGTGACAGGGAAGGGGAGGCTCTGGGCTGCCTCACAGCCCCGTGTCCGATGGTCTCAGTGGAGGGGAGGGCTCTCACTGTCCAAGGGGAGCGATCCCAGTCCCCTGGAATGTTCTCCCCAAGTGTTCTGGGAGCACATGGAGGTGCCCCAGCCATGCCCCTCTGCTGGGTGGGGCTGCCATGGGTCCCTGCTGCTCCTGGCTTGCTCCACACCCGTGTCTGGAAGGGCTTCAGCCTGGTCTCTCTGGCCATTTGCTGCCCTTCACTGTCAGTCTCAGAACTTGAACATTTTCCTGGTGGAAAAACTAGAGCAGAAGGAGGGGGAAGGCTTTCCTGAGCCCCACAGTCAGGCAGCAGCAGTGCTTGGCCTGGGATGTCTCTGTGTTGTCCAGAGAGGTTGTGGACTCCCCATCCCTGGAAGCGTTCAAGGCCAGATAGGATGGCACTTGGAGCAGTCTGGTCTAGTGGAAGATGTCCGTGCCCATGACAGGAGGTTGGAACTAAATGGTCTTTAAGGCCCCTTCCAGCCCAGTCTGTTCTGGGATTTTGTGATTCTGTGGATGTCACCCCGTCCCAGTCCTGTGCCCTGCCTGCAGCGGTGCGTGGGTGGACGGTGTTCCCGCAGCCGTGCCCCCAGGCAGCCTGTCTCTGTCTGACCATCCCCTCTCCTCCTGCCCCAGGCCACCAACGGTGGAGGAGCCTTCAGTGACTACTCCTCCTCTGTGCCCTCCACCCCGAGCATCAGCCAGCGGGAGCTGCGGATCGAGACCATTGCTGCCTCCAACACCCCCACCCCCATCCGCAAGCAGTCCAAGCGGCGCTCCAACATCTTCACGGTAAGCGGCACGGGGGCCCGGGACCTCTGGGGGGGGTTTCAGGGGAGGAGAGGGGAAGGGAGCGAGTCCCGGCAGCCCGACCCTCTGGGCTGTCCTGCCCAGGGACCTGTGCAGCGCTGGCAGGAGGGCTTGAGGGCTGGGGACAAAGGAACGTGCGTGTGTGTGGGAGGGACCTTCGGCGTGTGCAGGGACCGTGGTGCTGAGAGCTGCTTCTGTCAGGGTGTGCATGCAAGGGGGAGCACCTGGGAGCAGGACATTCCTCGCACACGTAGGAGTGTGCACCCGTGCACTCGTGTGTGTGTGTGCAGTGTGTGTGTGAGCAGAGCTCCTGCCTGTTTATGGGGCAGTGCCCCTGTGCGTGCACAGCACCGGTGACTCTGCTCTCCCTCTCCGTGGGGCTGTGTCCCCCGGGCGTGGCACGGAGCCCTTTGCTGCTGGGAGCCCTGTTTGGTGCCAGTGGTGCTGTGTCCAGTGGTGCTATGCAGAGCCCAGCACCTGGCACGGGGTCCCACTCGCTCCCGTTCCCGAGCCCTGCGTCTGCGTGGCTCGAGCAGCACACTGGGAGCTGCCGTGGGCACGGAGGGAGGGGAGGCAGAGGGGAGGCAGCGAAGTCCCAGGTGGAGCAGGGTACGTTTGCAGCTCTTCCCTGTGCTGGTTGCCTTGCAGCCTGCCTCTCCACACGCTCTCACACCATGCACACACCGTCCATGCAGCGTGCACAGTCCTGCCCTCACACTCACCCTCGCTGTTAGTGCAGCCATGAGTGTCCCCTCGCTGTGAGCACACACGTGTCCCAGTCCTGTGTCTAGTGTAGGTGTAACCTCTGTTCCCCATGTATGTGTGCGGGCTCTGGCCTCGCTCCTCTCCCCATCTCAATGTGCTTTCCAGCCACCATTCCTCAGCACTCTGTATCTGCTGTCTGTGGCACCGGCCACCACAAAGTCCTTGTACCTGTTGCACCGTGTCACCCTTGTGACCAGACCACACAAACGCAGTGTCCCACGCCCCATCCCTCTCACTGCACCATTGGCATCCCAGATTCCCCACTCTTTGTGCTGGGAGCGTGCCCATCTCCCTCGGCTTCTGACATCCTGGAAGCTTCTGCGCTGATGTCCTGAATGCTCTGTGCACTCCCCCTGATTGCACCCCCACGCACCCCCAGCTCTCTCTGCACGCCCCTGCCCCACGCTCACCTTGTCCCTGTGCTGTGGGCGGGTGGGCTGTGCCCCCACCCCTCCTGACAGCACACGCTGTCCCTCGCAGCGGGTCCCACTCCCAGCGCATGGTTGTTCCCTCACTGCCCTCCCGTGCTCACCCCTGCCGTGGGTCCCTGTCCATGGCCGTGCCTCTCGCTGTCCCCGGTGCTGAGGGATGCTCCCCCTCCCCGCCGTTCTCTCGTGCTTGCTGCTGTACCCCGTGCTCGGGTGCTCGTGCTGTGCCACCCGTCCCACTGTACCCCGTGCTGGCTGCGCGCCCACGGGCCGGACTCGCCGTCAGCTCGTGCTCACGCTCCCCGGAGCCCCCTGCTCGCTCTCGTGGGGTGGGCACACGCTGGGGGAGGAGGAGGGCGGCTTGCTGCGGGGCTTACGCTTGTTGGCTGTGGCCACCATCATCCGTGCGGGCTCTCACGTGCTCTCCCATCCCGGGCTCACGCTTGCTCACTGGGCTGGGCTGGCGCGCTCGCTCGCCGTGGGGCTGGGGCTCTGGGGCTCACCTCACCTGCTTGCTCGTGTGCTGGTGCACATCCATGGCTCACGTTGACGTCTTCACCCATCTGGTCGTGGCAGCAGCAGCAGCTCCCGACACCTCCTCCTGCAGTGGGACAGGGCCAGGGAGGGCAGGGCAGGAAGGGAAAGGGCAGGCCGTTTTCTGCCGCTACCTTTTCCCAGGCAGACAGCTCAGGTGTAGCCAGCAGCCCCCGTCCCTGCAGGGTCCCCAGGTGAGCACAGGCCTCTCCGAGGTGTGGTGCTCGGCTCAGCTCCAGGAGCCACTGCAGCCCCAGTCCCGAGCCGTGCCTGGCTCCTTCACTTCTCCTCTCCTCTCCTCTCCTCTCCTCTCCTCCTTGTCCTCTCCTCCTCCTCCTCTCTCCTGCTCTCGCTCCCCTCCCGCTCCCTTCCCACTCCCCACTGGATCACACCCCTCCAGCAGGGTCTGCGTGCCCCAGAGCTCCAGGTGGAGACAGACAGACGCTGTGCCCACCCCGAGGTGCCCACCTGCACTCAGCCCCTGCCCTGCCCCGACTGCTGCTGCCGCCGGCGCCCGCTCCGTGGCCTGTCCGTGCTGTCCGCTGGCGCCCATCACTGACAGACTCGTGTCCGTGTTCTGAGTATAACTTGCCAAACTCTTTATTCTTTCGATATTTGCAGATATGTGCCACTGTTTCCAACTTTTCATCAACAAAAAGGCCTTTCCAACTCCTTCCAAATTAGAAGATCCAGGTGGTTACACACGGCACCTCTGTACAAATTCTCTCACTTTTCATTGCCTCTCCAGGGCCGGATAAGGGATGGGCACTGGGATTGATCTAAGATTAGAGGCTCGCCCGCCCTCCAGCCAGCATGGGTCCCCCCCTCGGAGACACGCAGGAGCCTTTTAAATCCCCCCAATGTAAAGTCTAGGAAGCGCTGAGACGGCCTGCGCCTGCACTTTAAGCTGGGACATTTCTGGGCCTGCTGGATGCTGTCTAGGCACTGCCCGTGCTCGGGGATGCCAGACGGACGACCCTCCTGGGATGGGAAGACCTGCAGAGCCTCTGGGACCGGGCGACAGCCGCGCGTGGAGCTGGATGGGCCAAAAGACGCTTTGCTGCTGCCTGCGGGAGCCGCTGCAGCGCCTGCCGCTAGCGCTCCGCTCCTTCCTCCCTCCTGCACCTCTGCAGCCTGCATGGACTCCTGCTCCTCCTCCTCTTCCTCCTCGCAGCCGAGCAGCCATCTGTGTCTCTTTAGTTTTCTTCTCTTTCGATCTCTTTGTTTGGTTCTGGGCCCAAAAGCCGGTGAATCGGTGTCCCAGGCGCGCGGGGCTTGTGTCCCTTTCTGATCCAAAGCACATGGGGCGCTCCCGGACTGAGGGGGTGTGTAGGACACTCCAGAGAGACGCTGCCGCTGCCTCCTGCCATTGTTGTGATTCTGAATGTATTGGTTGTGCTCCATGCCGTGTATGACTTGGTATTTCCCTCTGTCCTAAGCACTTTGAATGAGTTCTGCTCAACAGACTGTAAATTTCATATTGTATTTATCGGAGTTTGCTCTCCCCGCGGCCCTCGGGCGCCGGCGGGTCCCACTCTCGCCGCTCTAGACGTGTGGTAGATATTTATTGTCCATGCTCTTTTGTAAGGGGCTGGTATCTCCGCCCGGTGACCTGTGCTACTTTGTATGGTGCAAGTGTGTTACCAGAATAAATCTGTTGGATTAGTAGAGGTGTGAGTTCCTTCACTGCCTGAGCCTCTCCTGCTTCCATCCATGCTCCACCCGCATCCCATGCCATTTGTGTCTGTCGCCATGTCCTGTGTGCCCCGCGGGAGGGGGGGCCGAGGCAGCCCCGCTCTGCCAGGAGGAGGACAGCTCTGCTTGCAGTGGGGGGAGAGGAGAGCTGGCGGGGGGGCCGGGCTGGAGTGTCCCCAGTGTCCCTAGAGGGGCCGTGCGCTGGGAGAGCTGGCCGGGGGAGAGCGGAGTGGTCTGGTCTGGAGCCCGCTGGGGACGGGGAGGCCGTGCCTTTGGGTCTCCTGTGCCCGTCTCTAACAGACCCCTGTCTCTTCTCTTCCAGTCTCGGAAGGGCGCGGACCCGGAGCGGGACAAGAAGGTGCCGGAGTGCAAAGCGGACAGTATTGGCAGCGGGAGGGCCATTCCCATGAAGCAGGTTCGATGCTGCCCGTGAGCAGGGTCTGGGGGGTGCAGTCCAGGGTGCCTTTGCTCGGCACGGGAGCGCTGGGGGTCGGTGCCCCTCAGCACGGGGGGGCTGCACACCCGCCGGGCCCGGTGGCCAGGGGGTGCTGGGGCTGCGGGTGTGACCCTGTGCCGTGTGCGGGTGGGGGGCGCAGGGTGGGGGCTGCAGCGAGGGCTGCTGGGGGCTGTGTGGGGCTGAGGCGGGAGCTGCTGGGGGAACTGCATCGGGGGGCTGGCAGGGGCTCTGGAGGGGGGCTGCTGGGGGGCTGCAGAAGGGGCTGTTGAGGGAACTTGGGCGGGGGGCTGGTAGGGGGGCTCTGGGGGCCTGCGGTGGGGCTGCTGAGGGAACGGCGGGGGTGGCTGCGGCTGCGGAGCGGTTCCAGCAGATGGCATCCACACCCCGCCTGCACAGCCCCCGAGCAGCCTCACTGCTCCTCCTCTGCTCCTCTCCTGTTCCTCTCCACTCCTGCTCATGCTCTGGCCTCGCTGCCCTCCGGCAGGACAGGAGAGGGCCTCCCCTTCTCGTGGGCTGCTGCAAAAAGCTGCGAGCACAGTACCCACACAGTGAACTGCTGGGAATCCAAGGGAGGCCCCACTTGTGTGTTTGGATCCTGCCTTCTGGCCTCCAGGGAAGCTCAAGCTGCCTGGCACTGACCCGGAGCATTGCCTGCCCGTGTCAGTCGCTGGCAAGCAGCGATGGGTGATGTCCGAGTTAGCCAAGCGATGTGGGTTGTCTGGATAGTTTCCACTGGGATTTCCTGGCACCATGGACAAGACGGATCCATACACTGCTTGGCAGTGCCTGGCTGTGCCCCTGCCTTGCACCTCATGCCCCCCTTGTGGATTCATTTCCCCGCCGTGGCCCCCACTGGCCTCTCCATGCCCCATGTGCCCCCCATGCTGCCAGGGCTGAGCTGTGCCCCACACGGGGCCAGTTGTGTCTCTGCATCGTGGGAGCGCTGGGCTGTGGGGCAGGAGGGCACAGTCTGCATCCCCACCAGATCCTGTCTGCCTGGTACCATTCCATGCTGAGATTCCCTGGGGAAGGAGGACTTGGTGAGGCCAGGCTGGCTGAGGAGTTGGAGGGGTGGGTCAGAGGAGAGAGACTCTGCTCGCTGCTGGAGCTGCCAGAGCTCCTGCACTTCCAGCCAATGGAGTAACCCTGTGGCAGGCTGGCGTGGGGCTCTTGGTGCCCCTGGCATGCTGGAAAGAGGGTGACACCAGGAGGGCAGCGTTGGGAGGGTTGGCTCTGGGGAGCAGTGACAGGGGAAGCAGTGCCAGGGCAGGGGCTGTGTGGTCTCACACATGGGGGCTCTGCTCCCGGGGTGCCAGGAACTGGTACAGCCCAGCAGGAAGAGGCAGCCAGCTCTCTGTGGCACGGGTGCTGTTGGTGTGCAGTGGGTTTTTGTTGGTTTGCAGTGGGTTGTTGTTGGTTTGCAGTGGCAGTGCCCATATACTCTGGTTTTGGGTCAGCCCAGCCTGGGCATCAGGGGAAAGTGGTGTGCAGCTGTTCCGTGGTGAGGAAGGGGAGGCTGAGAGCAGAGCAGCTGAAGCCCTCAGTGGGACCTGATGTGGCTCCCCAGAACCTACTGCTGCCTGCCAGAGGGCTGGTCCTGGGACCCCTCCTGTGGTCTTGGTTGTCTGGACCTATGGGTTTCTTTTTTGAGGATCTCCCTCCACTTGGCAGGGCAGGATGCTTCCTTTACCTGCTCCTGTGTCTCCGTGCTGCTGACAGGGCCTGGCCTTTGTCTGGTCTGCCAGAGGATGCAGTGCTGTAGTGGGATTGCTGTAGGCATGACAGTGCTGCTCTCGTGTGGAACAGGGGGAGAACTGGGACCGACAGAGGCCCAGGTCTGCAAACACAGCCTGCACATCCTTTCTGGGCTTTGCAAGGAGAAGGAGGTGCCAAACTGCTGCCTGGTTCAGGACTAAGTGGAGGGACCAGTTCATGCAGCAGCAGCTCCCCAGGAGAGCCCAGAGCAAAGTGTTCCCAGGGGAGATCCATGTCCTCGCCTGGCACCTCCCATAGCCAGAGCTTCAGGAGGTGATTTTGCAGAGATCTTGTCAGTGTTTATACAGGAACATGCAGGGGAGGGAGTGGTGTTGAACAGGTGGATACCAGCTTGTGCCAGTGGCTCTCCTTCCTCGGGCTCTGGGTTACACTGTGCTGGAGGTGCTGGCCCTGGGCAGGGCTGAGGACAGGGGATGGTTGCTCTGTTCCCTGGTGTGGACCTTCCTCTTCTGGTGGATCATGGAGGTCTAGTTGCTTGCTGTCTCTTTGCAGGGCAGTAGGAGAGCAGGGTCTTTAGTTGGTTTTCCTCTTGCACAGCCTGATGGTCCTGCCCAGCTGTAAGAGCAGAGAAGCCGGTGGGTTTGGGGCTGTGAGTGGCAAACGTGCAGGACCTTCTGGCTGAGTATGTGTCCAGTGTTCCCTCGGTGTGGGCACCACTGGGCTGGTGGCAGCACAGCTGTGTTGGGTGCTTGGGCCACTGGCATGTCACCTTGGAGCAGTTGAGTTCTTCTCTTGGAAGAACGGGGCTGGTCTGTGGTTACGTTACCAACTGGTGGCTGAAGGCAGTGGGTTGGCTGCCTGGCAGACTCCCCTGTGACTCCTGTGACCCACGACCCCTTCCTGGGCTCTGTGGGGGCAGAACAAGCACTGGAAAGCGCTGGCAGCCCCTGGGGAGCACCAGGCCCAGGGTTTGCATGGAACCAGGATGTGGGAGGCTGGGCTGGGTGCTGCAGAAAGGAGAAGCTTTGGGGAGACTTGGCTGAGAAGGGACATGTGCTGCCATGACAGGGTGCCTAGTTGTCACTTGTCACCACCTTCTCCAGCACAGCACCTCTGGGTGACCTGATCTGTCTCCCTTAATGCACATCTGGAAAAGATATGTTGGGGAAACACATCTGGAAGAGAGAGTGTTGGGGCCCCTCAACACCTGGGACAGCACCTCTGCTCCCTCTGGGCTGCAGGGGCGACTGGTGCCTGTGCCAGGGGTGCTCTGTGCCAGGGACTCAGGATCCCTGTGCCACAGGGACACTGTGCCACAGTGTCCTTTCAGTGATGGTCCTGCAAGGCTGGAAGAGCTCCCTCATAGCTGGACGCTTGTCTCCAAGAAGTGGGTTAATTGGGCTGGGAGACGAAGCTTCCCCAGCTGTTTGTTGCCAGGAATGAACTCCTAATTGCACATCCACCAGATCTTTCTGGGAAGGCTGCGTGGAGCGTGCCGGAGGCCCGGGGGTCCCTCGGCCCCTGGCCTGGCTCCGCTCGGGCCGTGCACTCCAGCAGGGCCCAGGGCGGGCGGCTCCTCCTCCTTGGGAGCTGGGATCATGCTGGGAGCTTAGATTACATTTAAATTGCCATTTGCATTTTCCAATCAATACGCGACTTCACAATTAAGTTTGGTGTTAAAATTCTTAGCAAAAAGTGAGTGGAAGGGAGATTTGTGGAGTAAACGAGTCCTCTGGGGGCCATCGCCGCTCCCTGCTTCATTACGCTGCATATTGCTGCTGCTGCTTTTACTGTGTGGCAGCACAGCCCCGGCACAGAGCCGGGCACGGAATGCCGGGAGAGGGGAACGGGGGAAAGGGAGAGGATCGGGCTGTCCTCTCCTGCCTTTCGGCTCTGGCTGCTCCTGCCCTTGGCACGCGACTTCCGTACGGGAAGAACCTCGTGGAAGAGTTATTTGCTGTGAGCCTTCCCAGGAGGCGCAGAGGGAGGTGGAGGAGCACAGGGGTCTGGCTGGTCTTGGAGCCGTGAGGAGCCTGGCCAGGACTGGGAGCACGAGGGGACGGCCTCGGCCGCGGGCAGAAAGCCATTGTATTGCATTAGGTGTTTATTTGCACCCTGTAGTTGCTCCTGGTTTTGGACTCTTGTGCCTCCTGGCTCACAAAAATGGGCTGCAGTGCTGGATCTTCCTTTCTGGCTCTGAGTCTGGTTGTGCTTCTTAGTGCTTCTTAGTTTGCCAAGTTCCAGGTTTGAGGCTGAACTAACTGCAGCCGAACTCTCCTCTGCAGGCAGCACGATTTTGGGGCAGTCTGGAAGTGTTGAATTGGGTGTTTTGTAACACCAAGGTGCATCAGGTACAAGACACATTGAGGAGAAGTAGCTGGAGCTGTTATACAGCACGTGTGGGCAAGTCAGGCTGTGGGACCAAGCTGGGTTTAAGGGATCGTGATGCCCAGGAGGGATTATTACATACCCAGAAGGGATCTTCATGGTCAGAAAGGAATTGTCATACCCAGAAGCCATAGAATTTCACCCAGTGACTTTGAGCCAGATCTGCAACTTCACCCTGGTCTGAAGCAGATCTGTTTGAAAGATACTGAACAAATGTTGGGCACAGGTTTACCATGTATGACCACATTGCTCTCAGTCATGGATGTGTTTTAAGACCTTGCACTTGACCAGTTTTCACTCCATCCATTGCTGGCTCTGGGTTTTGTACAGCTGGTGTTTAAGGGTGTTGCTGCTCAGTTAAAGTACTGACAGAAAGCTAAAAACGCTGTGTCAGCACAGCCCTCAGATATTGCATCTCACCCAGGGTAGGACCAGGCTCCTCTGCTGTCCCGTCTGCACCAGCTGGCATTGGCTGCTCTGCTCTCCTCTTTTTTTTTTCCCATCAGTCCTTGCTGTGGGTTTTCCACACATTTGCCTGGTGTTAGTGTCCGGTTGTGATTCCGAGGGTCATTGTTTGTCCCCTGGCAGATGTCGGCAGAGCAGGAGCTGCTGGTCAGCTGCCACATTCCAGAGTGTTCTGTCAGCACCTTCTGACTGCCACTGAGTGAGCTCGTGCTCCCATCCCCTCGGAGCTCTTGAGGGAGCTGATCCTGGCAGGGGATCCGATCCTGCCCACACACAGCTTCGCCCTCGCTGCTCTGTTTCGCTGTCTCATCCCTGCACGAGCAGGGGGTGTTTCCTTTTCCCACTGTTTGCTTCCCGAGCCCTGAGCCGGAGCAGTCATGGAGTACTTCTGCCTGTTGTGCACCATTTATCTCTGATTTCACGGTCACGTCTGGCAGCGTTGTCCCCCCGTGTGCGCCAAACCCCTCCACTTTGTGCTGGGCCAGTCCACCGTGGAGGTGCAGCAGCCCAGTCTCCAGGCACTGGGACAGGGCCCCCAAATATGCCGAGGCTGGCAGGGCTGAGACTTTCTGCCCAGGTTTCTGAGGAGGGGCTGGCCTGGGGCCCAGATTTTTGCCATGTTAGGAACAGCCAGTCTGGGTGTCTGTCCAGACAGCGATTTCCAAGGGCCCAGGCCTGACATTTGATAGATCCAGCCTTTTTCCCAGACTCCCTTATTCATTCCTACTTTTGTCCCTCCGTGCTGTCCTTCCATCACTGCTGGCAGAATGCTTGATGTCTTCTCCCTTCTCCTTGCATCCAGCATCTTGCTCCACCTTCCCTCTCCCTCTCCACCTCTGCCCGTACCTGGTACCTGATGGATTGCTGCTGGAGGTGGATTTCCTGGGGAGGCAGAAGTGGATGGGGAAAGGATGAGGAGGGTCCAAGTTCTGAGCTTTGGTTCAGATCAGTGGAATTGATTCCGGTTTGTCCTGGTGGGAAGGGGGAGTTCAGGGTATGTGAGTGCAGTCGTTTCCCAGCCCTGGGAGTGTGCTGTGCCAGAGACCACAGGATGGGTCTCATGGAAAATCCTGATGAGAAGAGGGTGTGAACCAACCCCTCAATTGCCCAGGACTTGCTTTCTCTCCTGGAATGTGTCCCTAGCTCTGTTTGGCAGCTCTCAGAAAGAATTGCAAGCAGGCGAGGGAATGTGCATCCCTTGGGAGACCTGTATTTGGAATTTTGTCCCTCAATCAGCCCCCACCTGTCCCCTTGTTGTCCCTGCCTTGACCACTCTGTGCTTTGGGTGGTGGGAGAAGGTCTGGGAGCCAGCTGTGTTGGTGGTAGGGAGGTTGCTTCCTGCTGTGGGTGGGCACTGCCCTTTGGCACAGGACATTTGCCCAGGGAGCGATTCAGGACACCAGAGGATGTGATGGGTCCCTCAGAGGACCTGGGCATTGGTGCTGGCACATCTCAGAGGGAAGGGGGCTGTCTGTGGGGACTGAGTTGTTGGTGGGGAAAGGGGCACAGCCCAGGGAAATGCTGTGGGAGAGCCAACCTAGAAGATGTTTCCTTGAGTCTGCTCTTTGTGTCTTTTCCAAGACCAGTCTCCAAGGGGCAGTGCTGGAGCGGAGCGGGAGGTGCCTGAACCAAACATGGTGTGAGACTTCTGACTCTTCTGTTTCAGGGCATTCTCCTCAAACGCAGCGGCAAGTCCCTCAACAAGGAGTGGAAGAAGAAGTACGTGACGCTGTGTGACAACGGGGTCCTCACCTACCACCCCAGCCTGCACGTGAGTACTGGGCTGGGCAGGGGAGCAGGGTGGGACAGAGCGGTGTCCTTCATGCTGTGGCTGCTGCTGCAGATGCTCTCACAGCAGGCACGGTGACAGAGAGGGGCTGGGAAGGGTTTGGCAGTGGGTGGGATCCCTGGGCTCTGCCCTCTCCACTGCGCAGGAGTTCAGCTCTGGCTCCCTCCAGGGCGGTGTTTTCAGTAGAGCTGTTTTTTACCAGGGTCTGAAGGAACCCCTTCCCTCTCCTGCAGGCTGTTTGTGCAGCGTCAGGCTGGTGGGAACACACTCTGTGCAGGACTGTGCCGAGGAGCCGCAGCTCTCCTCTTTGCCTGCTCGGTGCATTAAAGCAGGGGCTGCTGCCACCCCACAGCTGGGTGAGGAGCAGGCAGAGAACTCCGTGCAGCCACGGCTGACGGTGCCATTTGGGTGTGGAATAATTTTCCTGGCTGCTAGGTATTGGGTAATGGAGACGAGGTGCCTGTGCAGAGCCTGCCGAGCTGAGCTGCCGCCGGTGCGGGGCTGATCCTCCTCCCCGCGTGGCTCGGGCGCAGCTGCCGCCCCATCCATCTCTGTCGCCTCCCCACTGCGGGGCTAATGGCTTCTTCCCCGTTCCCTCTTGAGCACAGTTTGCTGCTGCGACAGCAACCACGGACAGACACACCTGTGACACAGGCCCCGGCACCTCCGAGAGGACGTGCTGCTGCAGGACAGACAGACGGGAGAGCTCAGGGCGGTTTAGGGGTGCTGGAGCACCCTCTGGGGCTGCAGGGAGAAGGATAAGGTGCTGCAGATCTTGTGAATGCTCAAAGGCCCTCAGTCTGTCCCTGATATCCTCGGACATGTGATGTTGGAGTGCCCTGAGCCTCAGAGTCCTTCTCTGCATTGCTAACCCTGCATCCCTGGCTCCAGGGCTTGCTGTGCTCGTCCAGCTCCTGAGACCATGATCCGGGGACCCTCCTGTGCTTGCACTGGAGACCCAGCCATTGCATCCCCTCTCCCTGATTTGTGGGAGCTTTTTCTGTTAGACCTTGATCCCCATGCCATGGTGTGGCCTGCTGTTCCCTAACTTTGTAACCCTGTTTTTTTGGCTTTGGAGCCCCAGACTGGGAGAGAAGGGCTGCTGCTGCTGTCTCTGTGTGTGCTCACACGCGTGTGTGACTTTATCACATTCCCATCATGGGCTGTTATTACCATCAGCTGTAGAGGCAGAGCAATTTCTGGGCTGTTGTTTAACCACTCTCGGATGCTGTTGCTGCACACCAGGTTTCTCTCCTTTTTACACCACTCCTTCCTCAGGGGGTGATCGAGATTGATGCCAGTCTCTTTCCTTCCTGCACTTCTTCAGTGTTTCATTTCATTACTGCATTGCCCCGAGCAAAAATCTGGTTCACTTCCACCTGGTGCCACTGGTGATCCACAGCCCGTTGCTGGGGGCGGTTCGAGCTGGGCCTCTCCTCCCCAGTTTCCACGGGGAGCTCTGAACCTTGCACTTGAGATAGGTGTTGTATCACCCGGCATGTTTACCCACAGCCAGGGCTGATTACGTGTGGGCAGAGAGCATGGGGCTGCCCAGCCTGGCTGCTGCAGGGCAGGGGTTCTGTGTGCTCCCCCCTGTGCCTCCCTGAGAGCTGGGGAAAGGACTCTGGCACCCACCCTTGTGTCCTGTGCTTTCCTGTGGCTTTGTGTGCAGGAAAGGGGCAGCAGAGCCCCTCTGCCTCCCCTTTCCTGTGGTACCTGCTGTACAACCTGCAATTCTGTCACTTCATTGTGGCAGCAGCTCCCAAGCTGGAGGGTACATGGTGAGGGGAGCTGCGGGCTAGAACAAGCCACAGAGCCTCAGCCAAGGGGACACCTAGCATCCTGAAGATTCCTACCTTGGAATGGGCTCCTGCCTGTGCTGCCACGTGTCTGAGGGATGGCAGAATTCTGGGTGCAGGCTGAGCCCTGCAGGAAGAGAGTCTTTCCCTGTCCATCAGGATGTTCAAGTCCCAGAGCATTTTTGTGCTGCTTCTGTGCTCCCAGTGGCTGTTCCTTGGCATGAGTCAGGGCAGTTCCTGCCTTGACTCCTCTTCCCTCTCTGTTACATTCTCTCCCTTTTGGGTGTTCAGCACTCAACCTGTTTCTGGGCCTGGATCATGGCAGCTCCAGGCCCACTTGGAGGTTTCCTCATCAGGAGTGTGGTGTAAACCACGGGTTTGCAGTCAGAGGCTGGAGGAGCCTGCACTGGTGAGCTGGGCCGGGCCCTGGACTCAGGGGTTCTGACTCCCTGATGGAAGTGAATCTGCCTTGACCACCAGCCCAGACCTGTGCTCGGGTCCTGTGGGGCAGTGGGTGTGTTCCTGCCCTGAGGTGCCACCTCCACCTCTGCTCTGGTGGTT